GCGGGGGTTGTGGGGCGAGCCGGGGGGGCAGACTGGCTGGAGGAGGCGCCCGTATCCGGCCAGGAGAGGTGACACGAGCAGTGTCCCCCGGTTCCCATTAGGGGCGCAGCGACGCCAGGGCGGCCGGGTGTCCGCGGGGACACAGTGTCCTCGGGGTCAGCGGCGACCGCCGGGGCAGAGCGCCCCTGTCCCGCTCCGTCCCTCGGGGGAACACCCAGCACCCCCATGGTCATCTTTATAAAATGATTGTGTGGCATCCAACGCAAAGTTTGTCGTGTCGGGGTGTCTGGGGAAGTGACGTTACAGTGATACAACCACAACACGGAGTCCGGTGGCACCTTAAAGACTAACAGATTTATTTGGGTGTGAGCTTTCGTGGGTAAAAAACCTCACTTCTTCGGATGGGAGCAGCTCACGCGCCAGAGGCTGTGGGGGAACAGCCGGGATTGGGGGTGTCACAGCGGAGCAGGGGGAGGCTGGATCCCAGAGTCGAGGGCTGGAGTGACCGAGCCGATCACCGGCCGGATAACACCAGGGGAACGTCACAGCCCCCTGCTGACCCCCGCCCGGTCCCTGCAGCCCCGTGCCCCCACTCGACCCCGCCCTCACTGACCCCCCCCCGCCTGGTCCCTGCAGCCCCGTGCCCCCCACTGACCCCCACTCCTCACTGACCCCCCCCGGCCCGGTCCCTGCAGCCCCGTGCCCCCTACTGACCCCGCCCCTCACTGACCCCCCCAGCCCGGTCCCTACACCCAGTGCCCCCCACTGACCCCCGCCCCTCACTGACGCCCCGGCCCGGTCCCTGCAGCCCAGTGCCCCTCACTGACCCCCCCCAGCACAGTCCCTGCCTGCCGGCGGAGAGCCCCCCTGCCAAGCCCCCACCCCCACTCCCTGCAGCAGAACAAACCACCCAAGCAGCCACGATTCCAGGGGGTGGGGGATTTTATTTCCAATCAAACCTCATGAACACCCCCACCCACAGAGCTGGGCCCTGGGCAGACAGGAGGGGGCACGTCTGTGGGGCGTCCATCTTCTGGGGGGACATCGGGAGCCAGGAGGGGGCGAAGCGGGTCGTCGGGCCCCTCCTCCCGGCGTTGGAAGCGGGCCCAGGCCCGGTTCTGTCCCTCAGGCGTCCCGCACGGCGCGAAGCCGGCCCCTGCGGCCATGGCCGTCACCCGGGCGAGGAAGGCGTCCGCCTGCTCCTTGCGCACGTCGGGCAGGAAGCTGTGGGGAAAACGACGGGGGTGGGGTTAGAAGAGGGGCCGGGGGGGGGGCGGATCTGCCCTGCAGCGGGGCCCCCCACGCTGGCACTTACCTGGTCAGCTCAGTGATCAGCGTAGCCCCGGGGGCAGATACCAGCTGCAGCTCCGGGGTCAGGGTGTGGACCATGCTGGAAGACAACGGGGGTGGGGGGCGTCATGAGGTCGGGCGACAGCTGGAAGGGTTGGGGAAGGCGGTTGGGTCAGGGGTCTTCTCTCCCTCCCATGAGCCGGGGATGGGACCCAGGAGTCCGGACTCCCAGCCACCCCCCTGCTCTAACCACCAGAGCCCCCTCCCTCCCTGAGCCACGCAGAACCCCGGCGTCCTGGCTCCCAGCCCCCCTCCCCGCTCTAACCACCAGACCCCCCACCCCTCCTCGAAACAGGCAGAACCCCGGCGTCCTGGCTCCCAGCCCCCTCCCCGCTCTAACCACCAGACCCCCCACCCCTCCTCGAAACAGGCAGAACCCCGGCGTCCGGCTGGCAGCCCCCTCCCCGCTCTAACCACCAGACCCCCCACCCCTCCTCGAAACAGGCAGAACCCCGGCGTCCGGCTGGCAGCCCCCTCCCCGCTCTAACCACCAGACCCCCCACCCCTC